TCTCAAATTTAGGAGAAATAACTAAGGTGCTTAGAACATTTCCTGTGTTTGCCATCAATCTTAACAGCCTTGAATGCTTCTCTCAAATCTAGTCTTTTCCTGACTAATCTGAATAAGGCCTTTGGCCCTTCCTATAGGTTCAGCTCTAGGTGGGTTTGTTTAGATGTGGGGGTTGGGAACGCAATCAAATTTAGGTCTAGAGAATATTTATTACAGCTGTGCCTTCAAAGGTCATCCAACATAATAGGGTTTTGTGTTAGTGGCTCTGGAGCCTTGTTAGGGAACAGAGGTGAGAGGAAAGGCGGGCCTCTGAAAGGAGAGTGTACAGTAGGTAGACTTTGCTTCTGTTTCACAGATTGACTATTGGTTGGAAAAAGGTGGGAGTGGGGTCCCATGGCTAATGACAGATTGGAAGCGATTACAGTAATCAGAATATTTCTGAAAGTAAAAACAGGTTCAAAGGTGTTCTGTGGGCAGTAGCATTTCTTTAAGAGAAAATGGGGAATTGTTAAATTGTCAACCTGGCGTAGGCTCTACAAGGCAGCTCGCTGGTGTTCCTCTGACTCTCTCACTCCTTGCCTCAGACCTTCCTCTTCTCATTAGCACCTCCATCAGAGTGGGAGCAAGGAAGTGTTCAGACATGTGCCTGTTTGCACATGTCGTTGTGATAATGCCAGGACAGACATTCTATCCAGTTCTATAGAAAAGCCAATTTCCCCCCATCGGTAAGGTATTATTTTCTTTTTTAGCATAGTACGGTTTATTGCCAAGTGTCTCTTAACTGTACATTACAAATAGCGTCTGATTAAGAATGTTCTGGATGGGTTAATTAGTGTGGTGACTATTATTAAGCAAACTGCTTGTTAGTATTATGCCTATTTGATCTTGGTATTGATGTGAAGTAATTGACCATAGAGCTACATTTAGGAAAGCTGGAATAAAGTTTTTTGATTTCTATTATGGCAATAAATTGTTTATATTAAACATGTCTATGAAAATAGGAGTTTCGTGGCACAGAGAATCAGTAGACTCTGTGTGGGATGGTAGATGAGGATTGTTTTATCTTGTTGTGGTCTGTTTTTTAGAAATACTAATACATTTGTCCAGCTACTTCAAGACCAATTCTGCTGAAACAAAGTAGTAAAAAATTATTTCAGCTTACTACTGCAGAGTATAGGAAGACTAAGGTGATCTTAACTTCCCAAACCTGAAGGATGTATTTCTTTTTAGATTTAGCTAATTGCCTGAGTACTCCTTTGGGTAACAATTACTATATATAAATAGACTATTAAAAATATGAGAAGATATTATAAACAAGGAAAGCATAGCATGTAACCACATTCTTTCAAATAATGGATTATTATCTATATTATTTATTGGTATTTTGTCCAGTCCTATTATTTTCCCTAGCTATAGCATTTCCATAGGGAATTTATTCCATGAGCTAATAAATTATACCGTCAGGGAGTTTTTCTTGAAATTCAGCTTAAATTTTCCTATTCTTAATTTCATCTCATTACTCCTAGTTATACCCCCTTGTAGCAGGCTAAATAATTATGCTCTTTCCTTGGAGACTCCTATTATGTACCCCTCTAGTTGTCACTTAGCCAAGCTATTCATATTTAGCTCCTTTAATCTGTCCTCATAAATCAATTCTTCCATTGCCTTAATCATAATTATTGCTCTTCTAAGAACTCTCTAATTTTCCAACATATACAGCTATCAGGTGACCCAGATGAAATCCGCATTCGCGCAGCATCCTGCCCCCTCAGACTTGGTGTCTTCCTTCCCTGTACAACAGGACCCGTGACGAGGTGGCATATCGGTTTACTGGTCAGATCAGCACAGGCTCGCGCATCGTCAACCCCAGACAGTCTAAACAGTGCTCTCCATGTGTCCTGTTTGCATGCAGGTTTGTTTTTATTTTGTCAGTTTCGTCACATCGGTGAGCCGGGTTTTGGGTTACTGTCCTATTGGTACCCGCATCTCTCCACCTCCTGATTCACCGCCACCCGTCGAGTCAGTCGTCACGGCCTGTGTGAACAGGGCGTTCTGTTCATCCTCTAGAACATCCAGGGAACGTGCTGAATAAAAGCAGGCCTAGCACCTTGCCCACAGCTAAATTCCTCCTCAGCTCCCAGTTCCCATTGTTTACAACCCTTTAGCCAACCTCCCGTCTCTTTTAATTTGCAGTTTTGCTCACAGGCTGGACAATGTAAATGGATTTTATGACTTAGATGGGTCATGACACTGTTTTTGAAAATGAAATATGATGTTTTAATGCTCATCATTTTTTTTTAATTGTGAATTCTTGGTGCACTGGGCTTGTAATTCTATTAAAATCCTTTGTACACTTTCCTGGCATTCCTTATCTGACTTAAACAAATAGGTTACCTCAGTTGTTTTATTACTGTTTTGCTGATATGTACAGATGTTCCTTCTCTTACTACTTGTTCCATTTGCTTAGGTGAACTTGAAGGTATTGTTATACTCTATTTTTGTTTTACTTTTTGTGTTCATCAATGGGAACTTTTCAATTGATTTTTAGCTCCTTAGAATTTCCTCAGTATTTTTAATTTGTATCCGGAAGCAAGTTGGTTAGTTCCCTTAAATATTTTGGACCTCTGAGATCTGAAACTGTAATCTGTATATTCCCAAGTTTCTTTCCATTGTAAATCAGGAATTAAGTTATTTTATTAGGGCATACCAAGGGGGTTAGCACCATTCTTTCCGTTTTCTCTATCTGCATATAATCATCAACTTATTTCTTGGTTGGGAGGGCTCCTTATAAATTCAGGTGATTTTTTTCAAAAGGCTTTATGAAACAAGAACAGAAGCCCCCTCAATAAGCTTTTTGATTCTGGAATGTACACAGCATATTACAGCCAGACTTTGTCTTCAGCTCTCAGGGGAACCCCCACCATTCCTTCATTCCTTAGTGTTGCTCACCAGCCCCTCTCTCAGCTCACTTCTTAAAATCCAACTCCGTACACGACCTGGCCTAATGCTTTGGTGGCACATCTTAGGTTCCACACCTCCCACCTGAAACTGTTGTTTTTCAACTTCCTTTTTCTCTCCTTCCCTCAGCTTTGTAAGAAAGTTTGGTTTAATTCTTTTACAAGGCCCTACTTTCCCCACACACACACCAAAACTCCTGCTGTAATTCCGCACAGTGTGTTTCTGCTTTCATCTTGTAAGACTTTGTTTCGTCAACATCCTGTTCCCTCTGTAGCAGGTATCCACAAGTGAACCCTCAAGTGGATCCCCTGTGTACACTCGCGCTATTAAAAAGAAGTTGCATTACCCTGGCTGGTGTGGCACAGTTGCTGGAGCGTCAGCCTGCTCACCAAAGGGCGGTGGGGTGGATTCCCTGTCAAGGGCAGGTACCGGGGTTGCAGGTTCCACCCTGGCCCCCAGTTGGGGGGAGTGGGAGGCAACCAATCCATGTGTCTCTCTCACATTGATGTTTCTCTCTCTCCCCTCCTCCCTCTCTCCCTTCCACTCTCTCTAAAAATCAATGGAAAAAATATCCTCAGGGGAGGATTAACCAAAACAAACTAACAAACAAACTCGCCTTGCCTTCTCTGCTGTGCACCCCCCTCTCTTCTTCTCTGCTCCCACCTCTCTTGTGCACACACCCTAACCTGCAGTCTGGCTTCTGCCTGCTCCCTCCGTAGGAACTGCCCTTGGTGTGGGCACTGATCTATTATGTAACAAGGCCAGAAACTCCTGTGGCACCTGTGCAGTGTTTCACTCCCTTTTTACACATTCTTTTGGGGCTCTTAATTCACTTCATTTGTGTGCTATTATAGTCACAGATTCCCTTTCTACTCTTCAGTTATTCCTTACTGCTCTCCTCCCATGGCTCTTCCTCCTGTGCTCTCCGTTTCTCCCCTTATTCAGCAATTCAAGGGAGGGGCTGAGTCTCTGGATGGGTCAGCGACTCAGAAAGCACTTGTTATCTGGCCCAGTCACCTCTCTAGACCTCAGGTCCCAGGGCCCTGCCCCAGCCTCTTTGGGCTGCATGTCATTCCCTGAAGATTTCATGTGCTTTCACTCTCCTTTCCTTTGATCACACTGTCCCCTCAGTCCAGAACTCCCCCTCCTTGCCTTTCAGAATCCTTCGACTAAAACTCTCTTTAAGGCTTTACTGCTTCCTAAGTCGGAGTTGATCTCTAGTTCTCGGTTTTAAAGGTTAGAGCGTCCGTTCTTTATGTACCATGCCCCCCCCCCCGGTTAGTTGATTGTTCACATCTATCTCCCACTCTGTCTTTTCTGAGCACTACTGGTTGAATCCCCAGTAGATGATGAACTCCTTGATTTCATTGCAGATGCTTCTACCGTTCGTTATATAAAATATACTTCACGAAATATTAGCTAGGTCGATTTAATGAAAAGTCATGTGAGCAGAAATGCCCAGTGTTCAAACATTTTTATGGGATAATGAAATAAGGCTTAAAATAAGCCCTGGGCACACGGTGCCTGGACAATGAAGCCAAGCTCCAGAAGGATGGGTGGAGGAACCATGGCTCTACTCTTACCTTCTGTGTGTGCGATACATGCTTTACAGCCACGGACATTCTTTGGAAACGATTCAAAGACAATTGGGTCCAATTTCAGATTTTTGAACTTTCTCTTGACGGCTGCTACTTTTTGCTCTTTTTCTGGAGTTTTTGCTATGTCTTTATTTTTTCTCAGATTTATACATCGTCCTCACTTCCTTATAGAAAGGTAAGGGATAAGTTTTATTTTATTTTATTTTAAATATATCTTTATTGATTTCAGAGAGGAAAGGAGAGGGAGAGAGAGATAGAAACATCAATGATGAGAGAGTCATTGATCGGGCCCGCAACCCGGGCATGTGCCCTGACCGGGAATCAAACCTCGATCGCCTGGATCCTAGGTTGATGCTCAACCGCTGAGCCACGCCCGGCCGGGCAAGGGATAAGTTTTAAATAGTGTCTTCACTAAAAGAGTATTGCATTTCCTTTTTGTAACAGATTCATGCCCAGGCATAAAACAACCCATTTACAGAAGATGCTCAGCCTTACAGGACACGGCGGTGCCGCTCCATCCCTGGACCTTCCTCCCCAGCAGGAGCAGGGAAGTTCGGAGAATTTACTGTGTAATGTCGAGTCAGGGTCTGGACCTTGTGACGTGGCGCAACAAGGAAACCTGGGCAGCTCACGCATGCAGGAGTCATGCTCGAAAACATGCATCTCGTCAGATACTTCAAGCTTTCGTCATGGGGAAAATAAACAAAACCTGCATGACATTTTGAGTGGAGCTGCTGATGAGGAACAAAGACCACTGCACATCGTCTGGCCTCACAGGTG